TTTTTCTATATTGTGTGCGATTTTGTCCCATGTACATTTAACTGAATACCTACAAAATGTGAAAAGAAAGAAAGAGTAGAAATGAGCATTTCTCATGTATCTAGTTTTCTTAATATTGAGAACCTGCCATTAACATTCCTCATTGTAAATAAATTTGTTTCAACTCACCATATTTATTTTTCCAGTTCTAGCAATTATAGCAATTTGTTTCCTTTGCCTTTCTTTCTCTTTCCTTCTTCTATCCATAGTTCAATCTAAAAAAAAACTTTATTAATCATTATTATAAGGTATTAATACACAAATTATAAGGTTTATACACAAATCATAAGGTTAACACACACATTATAAGGTTAACACAAAAATTATAAACTAACATACAAGTTATAAGGTTACATGAGTCTGACCGAAATGTTAAAGACTAAATGATTCATGTATATCAATACCATAAACACATTTTTACAATGCAACTAAAATATGATTATGAAAAATAATATCCAAAGGATTAATGATTCACTAATAGGCATTCTAAATGATTATAGAAATAAATAATAATTCTAGTAAGTCCTGCCTATCTGGCACAAAGAAAATCCTGATAATGTTACAGAACTATTGTTTATTTTATATATATAAGTATGTCATTTCAATCAGTTTTTAGTGTGGCAGTAAGCAAGCTCTCAGTAGGCTTAGGCTCAATTTCTGAATGTTGTTCTTGTGAAGAAGAAGGTGGCTCTTGTGATGTAGAAGGCAACTCTTGTGAATTAGAAGGTGGCTCTTGTGAAGTAGATGGTGGCTCTTGTGTTGAGGTCATCGATACATCAAGGTCATCAAACTCCAACTCATCAAACTCAGCAGTGTAATCCTGCAGTTGTTTTGACAAGGTTTTAATTTTATCTTGAAGAACAGTTTTCTCTTTCATGAGTGTTTTTTTTCTCAATACCAATGATTTGTTCTTCTGTGTTGATGTCTCTGAATCCTTCTTAGCTATATCTATAACCACATTGCATTTGCCTTTCATTACTTTCATCAGTCTGCGAACTCTCTCAATAGTTTTGAGTGCGTTGTCCTGTTCTCTCTTTGTAATGGCATAACAAGCAGCCTTTAACTGCACATCAATATCATTAATTGAGTCATTCACGACGGGTGCCACATGTGGAGCAGGATCTGCTTACCCTTCCGGAGCACATGAGATCACCCCCAGTTTTTGGTGGGGTTCGTGTTGCTTAGTCTTTGGTTTTCTATGTTGTGTCATCTGTACTATTGTTTGTCTGTTTATCTTTTTATTTTGGCCATGGCGTTGTCGGTTTGTTTTCGATCTATGAGTTTGACTGTCCCTCTGGTATCTTTCGTCCCTCTTCAATAGTGCTGTTATGTCTGGTTTAACTTGTTTTGCCGGGAATGTCATTGCTATCTGAAATTTAATCTATATTAGACACAGTTTGTAAGGCAAGCTTAGTATGTTTTTACTATATATGCAATATATAAGGTTTAAGGAAACGACATATAGAAATCTATTTTAAACATAATCCCTTGGACTGATTTTCTTTTTGTTGCAACCTAAAATATAAAACATGTATTAATAATTCTAATGTTTACCTCATGCCTTATAATAACCTTGCAGCGTTTTGAATGTTGTGTGTGTCCCAAATCAGACGCCTATAGTTCAGTAGTTTGCATATGTTGCTGTACATTATTCAGGACATTAGCTTCCACCTTTGAATTGTGTAAAATTGTTTGGCCTTAAAAATGTTTTAACTAATTGTTGCAGGCTGTACAATGAACTTTAGTTTCTAGCAGTTACGTACATCATTTGATATATGCTGGATATAGTATTAGTAATCATTGGGCAATTGATTAGCTCTCATTAGCAATCAAACCACATTATCTGGTGATATTTCATTATGTAAAAATTTTGCTAGAAGCATGCTTTAAAACTAAACACAAAAATTTCATTCAAATGTACAAAAGATCTCTTCATTGGTCCATTGTGAGGAGCTGAAAAAAAGCAATTTAAAAATTAATTCAAGTAAGACTTTTGCTGTTTGCCAATACTATGCTCTTTGCTGAAAATTTCATCATCTGTAAAAAAAAATCTTCAGAAGAAGTGCTCTTGTTACTATATTTGATGATAATCTGTAAGACAAAATTAAGAAATAAAAAATATTAATAAAATGTAAAAATCATGACCTTTTAGCCAGCCCATTGTAGTAAATATATTTTTTTTCTCTCAAATTGACATTAGTAATGTTAATGATATATATATATATATATATATATATATATATATATAATGAACCCAAAATATGTGCAATATGAATATATATATAGCTACACAAGCAATAGGCTGTTACCAGTGCAACCTCTAGGAGGATCTACATTATACAAACGTAGCCTTTGTAATGAATAATGCAGACAGGTCATGCATAATCAGAATTTAATCCACTTTCATTTCCCAATACCATAATTGCAAAAAAGTAACAATTTTCTGAAAACTTGATAAAAATTAAACTGAAACTAAAAGTTGGAAAATATGATTATAAATAAAGCAAATAAGCTGTGAACATATCCTTTTTATCGTTTTTACAGTAGAAGAGATTGGAAAAATATATGTTCTCCAACAAGTCTGCTTTGTACCATAAAGACATGCAAGAGTAAGGCGGTGATAAAATGTGATTTTAAAAAGTAAGGAAGCATAGAAAATACAAGCAACCAAGAGTATTAAACAAAGACAGGTACATTTAGAAAACAAACAGTACGACATATATCATACTGAAATAAGTGCATTTATATGAGAAAGTTGAAAAATGGTACTTACTGTTTTCATCCACATCCAATTTGACTATTATATGATATTCCACATCCATATTTTTTTGTATAATGACACATCGACACACACGCTGTTGTTATTATAAAATTTGAAATCATAACGGTTCTCAAGATATAGAGCGGACACGATCTTTACCATAGGACATGGGGCTGTCAAGTGAAATCAAAGTTTTTGGCGTTGACCTTTGACCTAGGAAGTTGTACAAACATTATGACACACCCTCTGGTGTTGGTTAATATACATGTTAAGTATAAACTTTGAAATCATAACGGTTCTCAAGATATAGAGCGGACACGATCTTTACCATAGGACATGGGGCTGTCAAGTGAAACCAAAGTTTTTGGCGTTGACCTTTGACCTAGGAAGTTGTACAAACATTATGACACACCCTCTGGTGTTGGTTAATATACATGTTAAGTATAAACTTTGAAATCATAACGGTTCTCAAGATACAGAGCGGACACGATTTGTTACGCACGGATGGACGGACGGACGGACAGACAGACAGACGGACGGACAGACGGATAGACGGACGGACAGACGGACAGGCGGACGGACAGACTTATCACTATAGGGCGACCCGCTATTCGGCGGGGCCCTAATTAAAACAAAAGTACGATTTGAGAGTACTCGCAGTTTCTGAAAGCTAGTCAAAAGCCAAAAACAATTAATAATAAAAAAAATCATGCATCAGAGACTAAAATCAACTAAAACACATCCAAGGGATTTAGTTTTTTAAGGCCATTGACAGTCAAAGAAGACATGACTTGTGCAATGCCAAAATAAAAGTATCGACAAGCAGTAGGAAGACAGAGTGTCTTTAATGACCTGACGATACCGGTTCCAATCTATAAAAGATGGAGGTCGATATTTAAGTCCTTTCTGAAGAAAAGTTTTGACCTCACGTCCTTCAACGATGTTGAGGTCTCCTGTAATAACATGACCATAGGGAACCATATCCAAAAAATCCAAAATAATACGGGTGTATTCATACAACGGGCTAAAAAATGAAATTTTATCACACCCCAGAAAAATATCATATAGTTTACTTATTGGTATATGACCAAGTTTGCATAATGCTTAGATTGAGTATCGTTCAAATTTTAGAACACTACATTTATATTAAACAAGGTTACCTAGTAAAATTTAAACCTTATTATACTCGAATTTCGCTCGTTTGTATACTTGAGTGTCCTTCAATTTACAATTCTTTTACACAAAGGTGCTACATTACTTTTTTTATGGGGGATTCGTGGCCATAACGGGAAAGAATTTGAGAAAAAAATGCAGGATTTATTAACATAAAATAACATTTATGACAAAGAAAGTATATAAATAAAGCCATTTTGTTTTTCATAGCCATATATATAAATTGAAAAGATTAAAGAAAATGACGAATTTGATTAACTTCGTTTTCTTGATAAACAAGAGGATGTCTTGGGTTTTAAAAATGAACAATGCTTAACTTTGTATGCCTACAAGAAGAAACGTTTTATAGCACTATTCCTATTTTGGAGAAAACGTGAAATTGGAACATATTTAGAAACAAATCCATTTGTTTTAATGTATTTTTTTTAATCTTTTAGTAACATGTTTATCCACATACAAAATTTCGGTCCAAAATTGAATGTTTTTAAACAAGCTAGGACCCATATCCATTCTATTCGATCGAAAGCTTTTGTTGATCTAAGAAAACAATAACCCCCTCTTCGTCTTCTACATCAATGTAGTGTATTATATCTTGTACTAATCTGTTTGCTTCACTGCTATTTTTGCCATTTTACCCTTTACGAAACCTTTTTATCTTTTAATCGTTCGCCCCTTTTAAAAAGTAAAGATATCCTTCCTCTACTTTGTTATTCACAAAGCGAACCACTTTCATAAATTTCATTTACTTAATCTGTAAATTGGTCCTTAATAACATCCCAATATATCTGATAAAAGTTGGCTAAAATACCATCTTCACCAGGAGACTTGTGAATTCTAAGACTTTTTACAGCTTGCAAAATCTCAGAGTATTCTATATTTTTTTTCTAAATTTGATTTTTCGTTTTCATCTAATGTGCTTTCAATAAAATGTAGTAGCCAGTTACCTTAATCATTATCTTAACATCATTAAATTTTCCCTTTATTATTCTATTAAAATCTAAAAATATATATATACATATATACATACCTGTACAATCCGGAGGAGTTCCTTGTATCCAAATTTGTTGATCATTACAAACATATTCTGTAGGTGTCTCTTTCGATACCTGGTATTGATCAGAACATGACATCGTACAGATTTGATTACCAAGTGCCGAGGAACATGCTAAAGCACCTCCAGCTGGAGGTGGTAACTCAGGACATGCTGAAAAAAAAAAAAGGTTTTACATCTAAATTGTTCAATTTCACCTTCATACTCTTCAAGTTTTTTGTTGCAAAATGCTTTCGAATGTTTTGCACTGCAGTGTCTATGTTTCTCCATGTGTTCTAAAAGCATACATGTAAAAACTCTTCTGACAAGATATTTACTTTTTCTGTTATTTTTTGTCAGGTTTTATGGATTTCCCCATTTTGAATTTACATTGGAAATCAGTATTTTTTGTTTAAATATATTTTTCTACACAATTTCTACAGTTTCACATTTATTCTCTTTCATATTTAAGCTGCTATGAAAAAAGTAAATAATAAAAAATTCCGAACTCCAATGAAAATTCAAAACGGAAAGGCCCTTATCAAATGGCAAAATCAAAAGCTTAAACACATAAAACGAATGGAAAACAACTGACATATTCCTGATGTTTAAGTACTATAATAGTGACTTTAATCAATCTATCCAAAACTGTACATCGAGGATGCAGATTGAGTACTCATCTCTGAAACTTACGCCATATTGTTTTTTTACCGGAAATGTTAACTTTGTATTAAAACATTTTAAACATAATAGTGAATTAGTGGTTTGAGGACAAATTAAAGCAAAAAATTTAATGACCGGCACAAAAAAACACTTTTTTTACATTTTGAAAAAAGTTGATTAAAATTAAAAATTGATATTTCTATGTTTAAACAATGTTTCCCTTCTATAAAAGTAATGAAAAGTGCATTGACATAATAACAAATCACCTACTATATATATGTTCGATCAATTTTATGTGAACGGAAAAAAACTGGGTTCTGTTTTCTAAATCGTCCTTAATATTTGCACTAGCTCCCAACATAAAAGATCGCGCTTAAAATTTCATCAAAATACAAATTCAACCCTTTTTCACAGTTTCAATTTTTTGCAAGCCTTTTCATGCCAAGGCGATATGTCATTGTAGAGTTAAATCATTCTACTTTTCAAAGAACACTTATAAAACAAAAGATGACTTTTATACATCTTAGACTTAAAATGAAAGATTTGCCTGAATTCTGTCATTAAATTTTTAAAAGTGATAGATTCAAACATTGATGTATAAACTAATACTTCAAATCATTTACTATCCACAATTTTTCAAGCTATCAAAAAACCAGGCATTTTTCTAAGCATTATTGATCGAGCTTTCGACTAATTCAATTCCCTTCTTCAATGTGTGGATATATAATTAGATCTTCATAAGATATTTTGACCGATTTTTTTTTTCAAAACGAAAGACAATCCAAACATTGGACCATTATTCAAAATATGACATTATTCATCGTAGTTCACAATTATGACGCGGAGTAACATAATAGTTGATTTTATATGTCAACATCTTAGTACAGATATCTGTTTTATTGGGGCAACCTTGATCACCTTGGTCCTCTGACCGGCATTAAAACCATTGCCAAAGTAAGGCGTCCATTTGGATGCGTAGGATGTATAATTTTGTTATTACGTTCGATCAGAATAGGGACGATAAATGTCTTGTGTAGGTAAAGTACAACGATATCTACAGGTTTAAGAACCCATGCAAAAACTCCTTGAGTGTTCCATAGGTGTCATGTTACAAGCCGAAACTTTTGTCCCTATCCAACATACCGTATGTTTCCATCGACGGTCAAAATGTCCCCACCTTTATCCGAGCCGCCCCACCCCTTGTAAAATCTACATACTTTGTTAATTGTTAATAGTTTCTCAGCTTGAATATTATATTTCATGTTATACATGAAATAATTGCCACAGGACATTAAGCAGGCAACATCTTAAAAAAAAAGAGAGCAAAAATATCATTGTTATCTTGAGACTAAAATACATGTCTTAAAATCATATAAACCACAGGAAACCTAAATGTAAATTTATAGATAACTATATATATATATATGACTATTTAAATCTGAACATTTAAGATTTTAAAACGGCGAATAGAGAAACATACAATATTTGTTAACTATTAAGTGTCTAAATTTTTATATTCCATTATAAGTAAATGTCAAAATTAAAAACCAAGTTAAATTAGGCTCTGAAAAAAAATGAAGTTAACTTTTTTTTAAACTGTAGTACATTCGCATCTTTTTTCTGGATTGACCTACATCATCAACACTCAAACCCAAAATTTGAAAGCAAAGTATGTATAAGTACTTGAATACATTACGAACTATACAACAAAGAGGGACAATAACAGAATTTGCAATTGAATTTAAAGTCAACTTATTCTGAAGGAGTTGGAACCTTAACTAATTAGTAATATCTTAATTCATCAATAGGGAATCATAAAACAAGTAAACATGTTACAAATCATTTCAGTACCAAAACACTGACTTCTTAGCTCATGAGAACCTCATAGACTAGCAGTCAACCAACAGCAAAATAAAAACCGGTTCTTGAAAATGAAAATAACACTTGATTAGTTTCGTGCGTCCGAAACGCTTTTCTGGATTTACCTTTCTGAAAAACTGAAGTCCACCACTCCTATTACAAACATTACATGTAAGTTTGTTTTCCCTGGGTATAGGGAAAATCTTTGACCAGGAATAATAATTTATTTTGTATTTTGTATTTTTTTTTAAATTCAAATACAATTTATTTCCAATATCCTGTTACAATTACCTTAGTAGCCCAGGAGAGCATACTTAGGGTCACTGTATAACATTCTCACTCCTGTCCAGAGAAAACAGGCGAGGTAAATGTCCACTTTACTTGTAAAATTATATATTGCAGTTTTCTTGTAACAAATTAACACAAAGTCAAACACACCCAACATAATACATTAAATCGATCACACCAGATCTATTAGTCCGAGATTACTCTGACGTCCAACGGCTGTTTTGCCAGACAAGCTGGGGCCGTGGGACGTCAGAGCTCGTCCCATATCAAAAAGTGGATATTTGCCCGTCCAAAATAGATGCGCTGCTTCGTCGCTTCTGGTGCCAACGGACGGCCTTGGAATTATATAAATCAGGTATCAATTTGTTCATTTTTCATTTATCTCTTCATTTATGTAAGTTTCACCTACCTGCCACCCTTTATTTTCTCATATTTAGATAGTTTTCACAGTGACCCAACGTTTCTGGCATTTTGACTTTCATTTTGAAAGATTGTCATGTGATCACGAGAAAAAAGTAAGGCACAATGGACTATGGGAAATGATGTATGCATATGACCCTAGGTCAATATGAATATATAATCTAACACCTCGCTCATTTACGATGCAAGCAATGTAAATATAAGAGAGCTTCCGAATGTTATCGTGGTTGGCACTAAATGCTAAATACCGATCTCCTGTAAAGGAGGTGAAAAATCGTGGTTGGCTACTAAATGTTAAATATCGATCTCCTATAAAGGAGGTGAAAAAAGTATAAATATTTGCATATTTGAGTCTCGAGGTCGCAAAATCTCTCGTAACATTTGAAAATAAAAGTAAAAATGTCTGAATCGATGGGTCACTGTGAAAACTGTCTAAATATGAGAAAATAAAGGGTGGCAGGTAGGTGAAACTTACATAAATGAAGAGATAAATGAAAAATGAACAAATTGATACCCGATTTATATAATTCCAAGGCCGTCCGTTGGCACCAGAAGCGACGAAGCAGCGCATCTATTTTGGACGGGCAAATATCCACTTTTTGATATGGGACGAGCTCTGACGTCCCACGGCCCCAGCTTGTCTGGCAAAACAGCCGTTGGACGTCAGAGTAATCTCGGACTACAGATCTATTAGATCAGATAGGTAATAATTAGGTCAAGTATGTACTTTTACTTTTTTAAGTTAACGTGCGATAAATTTAATTGAAAAGTGATTATGTCTACCCTCTTACTACATTATGTATTTGTATTGATAAATACTGTAGAGGTCATAAAACACATAAAAACACTTACTCAATTTTTCACAGTAAGATTCCTTGCCATCTTTCCAATCCCAAATTGCTTTGTTTTCATTATTTGGATCTTTTTGACATATAACATTCATGCCGCCTTTTAGCTCGTAGCTTAAAAAACACGAAAATGAACATGTTGATCCAAGGGAATAACCATTTGGGCACTGAACTAGTAAAAACTGGTCTGTAACAACAAGCGGATCACAAGAAAGCTCTGTAATAATAATTATGTTATGCATGTAGAAAATTATTACCGTTAATGTTATTCTTTTATTATATGGTATAATGTTTTTTTTCTAAATGATACCTAAGTTATCTCTCTCTCTCTCTCTCTCTCTCTTTATAAAACTGGCGATAATTGGTAAGAAAAAAACAAAATCTAACCTGTTTACCTGCAGGTACAACATCAATAAAATTCAAATATATATTACAATTGTGAAATTTTGACATATGATAAGGTAAAAAATAAATAAAAACACCTCTGCGCGAACATTCTGAAAGCCTAAATTGTTCGTTTTTTACGACTTAACGAGGGGAAATATATCCATCGTACCTTCAACTATGACTGTAAATTCACACAATCCACCATTATTGTTATTATCTGTTGCAGTGTAAGTTATGTCATGGTAACCTATTTCAAAGTTTGATTTTGGAGCTTGTCCAAGTACTTGAGATACAGTTATTCCATTACTACCTCCGCAATTGTCTGCATTTTCTGAATTGTCTGATACTTCTGGCATTGGCCAATCAACAGTTGCAAAACCGTTTACATCAGCAAATGCATGAACTGTCTCTGGACACAATGTAAACTCGGGAGGCTGCACATCTGCCGAAAATAAAATTCTACACATGCATTGTATGTTATTACATAAGTAACACGTGCCCAAAAGTTGTAATTGTATTTTTGCATGGCACTCGAGGGCTTCCGTACATAAATGATTCAACAAGCTTAAATTTCATGTATTTAAACTGGCAGTAATCGCACGATCAATATTCAAATAAAAAAACAAGAAGTACTCGATTTATATCACATAGGATATTTTATGCATTTCTAACTGTAGATTAGAATATAGCATATGAACCCAAAGTTTTCTAAGATAGTGTATAATTAGTAAGGTAGCTGTTACGCCAATTATATTGTTGGTACATTCACAAGACTTGTACAAATAACAGCATATTTCGGATACTAGGAAACTAGAAATCCTGCTTACTATCTTATTCTTTTCCTCCTTATTGATACAGATGGAAAACTAGATTCTATGACAAACGTAATGATTTCATCTATCCAATTGGCAATTTTCCATTTCTCTGCAACAGCATACCCTCTGCTCCATCGTAATTCGTATACATATCTCAATTAATACGTTTCGTTCGTACATGTTTACACAATACGGACTTCATCAACAGAGGTGTTCCTTACACAAACACTGCATTACAAAGTTATGAGAAAGAACGACTGAAATCGACTCTACATAAGTTTTACGGTCAACATCATGAAATGGTGGACTGATACCATGTGTGTAATCTCATTAGCGACACGTTTTTCTCGTCTATTACCTGTAGATATTAGTAAAGTCGTCTAATCTGTAATTTCACTGATTATGACCTATTCCCAATTTTTTATTATGACTAAGTTTGGATTTGCATGCCCGCGGATGATGCATGCTTTGCAGGAGATGCATACCCTGTCGACTCATTCGTTTCGCTCTTTTTAGGGTTCGCTCAATTTCTTAAATGTTTGTTTGCTGCCTTGATTTGTATGTTCTTAAAAGATTATTGAGATTAGAATATCGGTAAATTACTGTTACCTTAATTTACAAAATATAAATAAAAACATTTGTAACATTTATCAGTTATATTTCTTAAAATTTCAGGTAAAACATTTAAGCAGTCATACTTTCATGATTTCACCTGGCTTGTAGCATGTTGCGGAAATCATGTTCTCTATTTAAAACATAAGTCTGCTCATATGCCCTTGCTTTAAAAGAGAGGAGGCGATGATATCAAAGGAATATCCAAAGTCGAAAATAAACTGACAAAGCCAAGGTAAACAAGAATGTGTCCAAAGTACACGGATTCCCCACTCGCGCTATCATTTTCTGTGTTCTGTGGACCGTGAAATTGGGGTCAAAACTCTTATTTGGCATTACAAGAAAATTAGAAATATCATATCATAGGGTACATGTGTACTAAGTTTCAAGTTGATTGGACTACAACTTCATCAAAAACTACCTTGATCAAAATCTTTAACCAAAACCTTTAACCTGAAGCGGGACAGACGGACGGAGGAACGAACGAACGGACGGACGGACGGACGAACGAACGGACGAACGAATGGACGGATGGACGAACGAACGGACGCACAGACCGAAAAACATAATGCCCCTAGGTGGGGCATAAAAACGAAAAACGACAAAAAGACAGAAATACAGGTTTTTAGTATCCTATTAGTGGGAACAGCTGCTTGTGGAATATCATTTTTAAGGAAACCACCAGTTATCAGGTATTTCCGTTAAATATTAAATGATATTTGAGTGTTCGTTACAGATTTTCTGGTTGTAAGTTATATATAAAATACTAAAACTGTTTTCAACCCTAATTCAGGCAAATGGTATTTCGTTTTATCTTATTGGTATTAATGCGACTATGATTTCCAAACGTTCTGTTTCTAACGAACCTGACTACGCTTATTTAAGAATAAGGCGTGGCATAGGTACTTAAAACATTCATTTATATATGTATTACATGAGGGACAGCGACATATATTTTATATACCTAAACATGATTGTAGAGTGTTTACTCCTATCCACTCATCACCATTACATCTTATATTCCTCGTCAAATCTGTGGAATAACCTTCAATGCAGGACGGGTAACATACAGAATCTAAATTATTGCCATCAGAACATATCAACTGTCCATTACAATACGAAGGTGGATCGCTACACTTCTTCTCTGAAAATAAAGGTATAAAAATGTCACAAAAAGAGGCAGAAAATAACAAGGGGACATTCAACAAATTATTCGAATAATTAATATACGTGTTCTCTTAAAGTCGGGTGGTCAAAACTATTCCGAACGCTTATTTTGACTCATTCTTGATTTAATAGAGTTTTTTTTTTATCCATAATCCCTACTATAAAAGTGCTACTCGACTAAAGTCGAGTACTGCTAGTTATGATTTTTACGCCTTTCTAAAATTTTATTGTAAGTATTGGCAGACAAGATAAACACAATTTTGGTGAACCACTTTTACCCAGAGTTCACAATTTATTATGAAATTTCTAACTGGTGAATAAAATACATATTTACGGAAAATAAACGATTAATCTTTATTCTAAACAGTGCATTCAAACTTTCGAAGAGATTACTTCAACTTTTTCATTCAGAACCCTTGGTTCAATTTCATTCTTATAAGCAACGATCGTTTTTCAAGGTTATCCTGATTTGATAGAAAACGGAAGCCCTGGAATATTGTATTACCTGAAATAAAGGTGGTAATAGAATCTTACAACATAAAAATCGAAAGATAACAAGACGTTTAATTCTCAAACTACCGTCGTTGTCAATTTCTAGATGTAAATCAAGTCTTAGATATGAAGCAGATAGGCCTAACTGAATCTTTGGTACCCTTTTCAAGTCCGGTGCAGTATACGCGATTAACATTATAGTAGTACTTTGTTTTCAAGTTCGGTGCAATATATGCTATTCTCTAATTCTTCGTCAATTTATCCCTTTCTGCACCCATTGTATAAAAAAATTTAATCAACGTGTGGTTCGTTTGATCTCAGTTCTTCATTGGTTAAAATCCGATTATGACGTCGAAATTTCTTGTTTTCCTCTGAATTTCCTATTGTGACGGCATGAAAAAAGGCGACCATGCCTGATGACGTCACATAGAAAGAACACATCTTTTTGCAGATCAGTCGCAAAGAAGGAATAAGTTTGCCTGCGTATTGTTTGAAAATCATTAGAGAAACAGATTCTACCACCAAATCTCGTGTAATACGATATATATCCACTCTCGACAGTTAAATTTTAAATATTTAAAACGCTCGGCAAGCCTCGCGTTTTAAATTTGAAAATTTAACTGTCTCGAGTGGATAAATATCGTATCACACTCGATGCAGTGGTAGAATCTATATTTCTCTAATTCTTCGTCAATTTATCCCTTTCTGCACCCATTGTATAAAAAAATTTAATCAACGTGTGGTTCGTTTGATCTCAGTTCTTCATTGGTTAAAATCCGATTATGACGTCGAAATTTCTTGTTTTCCTCTGAATTTCCTATTGTGACGGCATGAAAAAAGGCGACCATGCCTGATGACGTCACATAGAAAGAACACATCTTTTTGCAGATCAGTCGCAAAGAAGGAATAAGTTTGCCTGCGTATTGTTTGAAAATCATTAGAGAAACAGATTCTACCCCAAATCTCGTGTAATACGATATTTATCCACTCTCGACAGTTAAATTTTAAATATTTAAAACGCTCGGCAAGCCTCGCGTTTTAAATTTGAAAATTTAACTGTCTCGAGTGGATAAATATCGTATCACACTCGATGCAGTGGTAGAATCTATATTTAACATACTAGTAGTCACAATACCTAATGTTATACAGTAACAGGGCACAATCTTTAAAGCAGAACGTGATATGAAAGGGTATACTAGTTTCTTTTCATTCTTCTTTAGATTCCTTTGTATCAAATTTCATACCAATAAAATAAAAATTCCGTCTTGGCATGTTTCTTACAGTACACAACGAAAAAATACTATTATATCTTCCCCTTTCATTGATTTTGCAAATTCTCAAGCTTAAAAATAAGTCCAAAGTCAGGAGCCTGTAGTTGTCGTAAGTTCGCCTCTGATATATTTGTTTTTCGTAAATTGTTTTGTTATAGAATAGGCCGGTTGTTTTCTCAATTGAATTGTTTCATATTTTTCATGTCGGGGCCTTTTATAGCCGACTTTAAGGTATGGGTTTTTTTTCCTCATTGTTGAAGGCCGTACGGTTGCCTATTATTGCTAACATCGCCTTCATTTGAACTTTCGTGGATAGTTGTCTCATTGGCAATCAAACCATATCTCCTTACTTTAATATCAAGCATACTTACTTTCACACACAAAATTATCCGAAGGTTGCCATTCTCCAATTGATCCACTTTTTTGACACGTTTTTGTTGTTGGACTAGATGCTGAAAGCGTGTACCCTGTATTACAGGTAAATTCACAGTTAGATCCATACAAAGCAGGCGTAGCACATGTTGATCTACCGTCCTCCCCATACAAACTACCGCCGAAATAACAATATATAACTGAAAGCAGTAAATCAGATAAAGTTGTATAAGAAAATAAATTTCACCGTAGCTTTGTGTAATTAATTCCCAATAAACGAAGAAGGAAAGATTATCTAAGCTTCAAAACTTCAAGTAAAGTGATTGATTGATTGCTGGTTTCTTTCCTTCCAAAGACACAAATGATGTCGATATATTAGTGTCAAATGAATATACCCTGCTCCACACTATATTCGTGGCAATCAGTTACAGTGTCATCTCTATGTTACGCTTTCGAGGGTCTTATATTTGGTTTATATAGTATATTAAAGTGTTTATTTTTTTTATTTCGACTGATGTCAGTCTCTTGCCTTTGAAAGGCTGTATCTTTGATTCTCTCTTGAATGTGTTTTGAATAAATCTTAATATCAAAATGATTTTAGATTAATAAAATGAAATTCAAGTTTTGAAATAATATTTTTCATATTTATTATCCATGAGGTTTTTTTTCAGTAATCCTATAACGCCTTCAACGCCCCCTATCGGATATTTTTGTTTACTTTCAATGCTGAATTGTGCATCATTGATAGTAAAAAAAATATCCGACAAAAACGTTGAAAGCAAACAACATGGACCTACGAAGTCCTATACTATAGGACTACTTTTTTCAGTTGCTTTGTATATTTTTAGAATGAGTGAATTATTTGAATCTAGTATAGGGAGCCAGTACTGTGGTGCTGAAGATTCTATTCTGCTGGTATATAGGGGCAATCAGTTCAGGTCGGTTAAACATGCAGCATTTGATGCTTTGCAATGTACTCCTAGAATTTCCTTTATAAATTCAAATTGCAATCCCTGTGTTGTTTTCCTATTCCCTATACTTCACTACTGTATAGAGCAAAAGACACAACAAGGAGTCAATTTATTTTTCTAATATCTTGCATTGGTTATTAAGTCCAACTGTTTTTTTTTTTGTTTTTTTTTATTATTATTATTTTAGAAAGGGCTTTCCACAAGCAATGAGCTACATAGGTTTAGATTACCTGTGTACTGCAGTGTCATGCCAAGATAGCAGTATGATTTAACTGTTTCCAGGAATTCATTATTACATTTAAAAAAATATTATTAGTTAGATATAATGACTTATGAATTGTTTATGTTTACTCTTTAAGATAAGTTAGGGGCCTCGGTGGCTGAGTGGTCTAAGAAGTCGAACTACTGTATCACTAGCCAGTCAACACTGAGGTTGTGAGTTCAAATCCCGCACGGGGCAGGTGCAATCGACTGCAATCTTAATTGACTAGGATTGTCAGTTTTCCTACTGAAGGTCGGTGGTTCTCTCCGGGCACTCCGGCTCTCCACCAATATACAGACCGCCACAAAATAGCACAATAGTGTTGAAAGTGGCGTTAAACACCAATCAATCAATCAATCATTAAGATAAGATAAGATAGTTTCCAAAATTGACAAAGGTCACTAAGAGCATTTAAAACTGTTTGTAACCCCTTTTCAGAATTTGATGATAAAACCATATCGTCTGCTTATTAAAACGAATTTATATAGGTACTAGTACAATGTAGTAGCCCAGTAGAAAACTCTCAAGTACTTAAATTATTTTTCAACATTCTGGCGGGCCGACAAAAGTAAAAATGAAATAATAAAAAATGCTGATTAAATTTAAAAATATTCATAATATGTTCTATAAATCTGCCATGTTTGAAATTATTTTAAATTGAGGAATATATCTCCCTCTTTCAAAGCTCTGATTCCTTGCCCGGCTATGGCTTTTTTTTTCATTTTTGGTTAATATGCTCTACATTTATAATAAGTTTTGGATTTTCAAATATTTTTGGCCAATGGCATCACTGAAGAGATATGTATTGTCGAATTGTACATCTGGTGCAGAAAAATTGATACCGTTAATATTTTTAATTAATCGACAAAGACAACATATTTCAAGATTCTGATCTTCACATTGGATAGAGAGTAAAACCTTCGATCCAGCTGACCTTGACACTCGAATGTAAAACTCACCTTTGACCTGAAATCGAATAGTACAGGTATCTCTGTTTCCCACATCGTCGCTAACTGTATAAACAACCGTATGACTACCATCTCCAAATTCTGAACTTGGTGCTGAACCATCACGATCGATACTTGATAATTTAAGATTAGAATACATAATTAGAAAACTGGCACTTTTATTAATTGAGATTCCTTTTCGAGTTTTTTTTTTCTTTTTTTTTTCTTCTTCTTCTTCTTCTTCTTGTCTGATGTATGATTCTAAAGCTAAGATACTTAATTTTTTTGGTTGTTATATTCATGATATTCATCCTGAATGCTTTTGGCGTAAAAGTATACTCAGGTCTAAAAAATGGCGTTCGTCGTCCGTCTTTGTCCGTCGTCATCGTCGTTGGAATCTACCTATTGTGTTTTACATAAAACCTGTCAGACGACTTATCATAGGGTTCTTACTCTTAAATGACGAATTTTAACATTGTTTTCATCACTATTATCTAAAACCAAAAAAGATACTAGTAGACAGAAACTTTAAACAGCAAAAATGATCAACAAGACAATATCTACAAGAAAACAAGTACGTCATATTACTGAAATCGTCCGACGACTCCTTACTGCAGTTATTACCCAAAAATGACGATTTTCACTAATTTTTTGCGTTTTTAGCTAATATTTTTATAATGATAATAGATTGATAGAAACTTATAGAAACTTAGATACGCAAAAATTATCAGAAAGATTAGATCAACAAATAACTCAGATTTTGTCGATAGTGTTAGAAGACTCTTCATAGGAGTGATTGTCCTAAAATGACGATAATGTTTACCTTTTATTGTATTTTGGGCAAAAACTAAAGGAGATAGAGAGAAACTGCCACAAAATTAACAGCAATACAAAATCAACAAAAACAAAATTTTCGTCATGAAATCTATTCTAGTCCACAATGTTGGAGAGTGTCCATTGTTGAAGATGCACATTGACCTAGGTGATGGACACACTCTTTAGATCTTCTAGTTATTTAGTTGTTTTTATTCTCATACGATTCAATCAATGAATATATCTTTCATTAACAGAAACATGCACGTATATATATAATGATTTTGTCTGACACATTTATACGATATCATTTATTAACGGGAACAGAACAACGAAGGGAGTTAACTCTTTAAAAATCAGCTAAATGTTTTAATCCCATACTATTAGTAAAGAAAAATCAAGATTGTCAATGATCAAAATAATGTTTGTCGACAAACTGCTACATGTGTGTATCCAATGAAATTATTCCTGTAAATTGTGTGTGATTCAAATATCTTCATTTTTTTTATTTTTTTTCAACAGGTCAAAGTAACTATTTTGTCAACATTTTATGAAAATTAAACGAGCCAAATCTATTTTAGTCAAAGTGTTGGGAACCGCTTTAAAACACTTGTTTTAATTTTTTTTTTTTTTAAGACTATATCTCTAGATGTCTTCTCACAGTGTGTTGTAGAGTTGCTATTATTGACGTTAACCTCAAATCTCATAGTATACACGTTTGAATTTAATTCTCCCAGGATAGGATTACAATATGTATACTCAATATAAAAATAAGAAGATGTGGTATGATTGCCAACGAGACAACTCTACTTCAGAGACAAATGACTTTGAAGTTAGCATCTATATGTCACCGTACGGCCATCAACAATGCGTAAAACCCATACAGTTTAGTTGTATTTTTTATCCAACAGAAATAAAGAAAGAAGCCTATTTACCGTTTTGCGTCCCATAGGATCATGTCTTCAAACACTTATGCTGAAATGTTGTACGTTATACATTGAATTCAATTACGACATATCATAACATTTGCAAACAAACCTTCCCAGCTGTCCTTCAGGGTCAGTTGCAGTAGGTTCATCCCAGGTTACAACAACAGTATCCTTTCCTTTATCCGGATAGAACGGACCAACTACAGATGGACATGTTATTGTTGGTGGTTGATTAACTACAGGTTCAGCTACAAATAAATAAGTGAGACATTTCCATTTAAACGAATACTTATCATCAAACCAGTTATACTTTTGAAAGCCATTTTTTAGTTTAAGCTTTTAGTTTTCACAGGGTTTGAAAGGTGAAAAAAACATTTGTCATCATATATATATAAGCCTCAAATGCATGTCAAGCCTCAAATTTATGTCAAGCCTCAAATCTGTGCACTATTCTATATTTCTTCATAGACGTTACAATTTTTTGTCTGTTTTTTTTTCTCTCATTTATGTTTCCTTTTCAACATTGTTGTATGTCATGTATGTGTAGACGTCAGAATTATCAAATCTTGATCGCGGAAAGATGTGTGTCAGAAACAACATCATGAAATTGATATCATTTAATTTCATTGAAAAGTTAATGAGTGTTGAACTATATGTACATAGGAGCTTATAATTTCTCGAGGGGAAAATTGTTAAAAAAACTTATGCCTTTCTGCAACTTTTAAAAATATTTCGGGGTAATTCATTCTCCATGCCTACTAACTTTTACTCTGCAGAAGATAGAGATTTCAATTTAATACATATAAAAATAAATCGGGAACAGAAGCAGAAAACTAATTTTATATTTTTATGAACTGGTTTAGGAGAATTCAATGTATATGACTTACTTCCTCCTCCTCCTCCTCCTCCTCCGCTGCCTCCTCCGCCTCCTCTCGGACAAAACAAAACACAAAGTGCGACCTTAGCAACAAAGATACCAGCAAGCAAACCAAAGAAACCAAAACGTTTCGATATCGCATGTCTATTTCCTGTACCTGGTTAGATATACATATATATATAAAGTTACATTTATTACAGCCTTTACTTAGAATTTCTTTAATTAAGACACTTTATTCTAGATAAGAAATATATGTAAATGTTGTGAAAACAGTCGTCAAAGATACCAGGCTTTCAATCTAGTAAGAAAGACCAGTTTTGAATACATAAGACAAGTTTTGCTCGAATCAAATAAGTTGGAAGGCCAAATCAGTAACGAAGTTGAAGAACATTGAGATCTAAACATTTAAACAAAGTTGCACCTAATCTGGCTACGGTCATCTAAGCATGGGGTCAAAAAACTTGATAAAAAAAATGTTAAGAATGCTTTTTACATTTGATGTACAGTAATCTACAGAGAAATGGCCGCATCAATGATACTTTATGTAAGCATCTTAGTGTTGACTACTAGCCGAAAAATATCTATCAATCATGTTAAAAAGTGTTTCATTTTCTCTGGTGATGGATGAATTCGTTAGTGTTTAATTAACGTCCTGTGTCAAATATTACAAGCACATCAGTACAAGCTACTGATGTGATATGAATATGAACTCGGCTTTCTACTACACTGAAACGCTGAACCGGATTTTTAATGTTCTAGTTTAAAAGTGAAAGTGCACAGGAAGACATTTCTGGAAATGAACATACATTTATAATAAGTACTTCATTTTTTTTATCCCTTAGTTCAATATTATGATTCAGATCAATACATTTTAACTATGAGCATGAATAGATATTTTTCTCGGCTGCGTCGTAAGTTTCAAAAATTTGAGAGACTCCGATGACAGACGAGAACAGAACCCATTTCATTTTTAAATGTTATTATGTAAAAATAAGGAGATGAGGTATGATTGCTAATGAGACAAGTATCCACCAAAGTTCAAATAAAGTGGATGTAAGCATCCAATTATAGGCAACCGTACGGCCTTCAACGATGAGAAAAAACCATACGGAAAAGTCGGCTTTATAACGCCCCGACATAAAAAATATGAAACAATTCAATTGAGAAAACTAACGGCCTAATTATAACAAAACAATTAACGAAAAACAAATATGACAGACATGAACCAACAACAACCACTGAACTACAGGCTCCTGACTTGGGACAGGCACACAAAGAATGTGGCGGGGTTAAACATGTTAAACAGCGCTCAACCCTCCCCTAACCTGGGACAGTGGTGTAACAGCACAACATAAGAACAAACCATAAAAAAGACTGGACTCATCAGATCGATTCCAAGCACAAAAACAAATAAAATTACTAAAGACACAAAGTCTCGATCTGAGAGTACTCGCAGTTACTGAAAGGTAGTTCAAAGCCAATAACAACTAATGAAAAATAATTTGTCCAAGACAAAAAATTAAGCCTTTGTCATCAATGCATTTAAGGACAGACACTTTACAATATTAAACTTAATATTCTTCTCTTTTTCTCCCATGTTAAATAGTGTTTAAATCAGTCATTGAGGACATTCATTTATTTTCCAGACTCTGCAAAAGAAAACCAGTAACCCGATTTTTAAAGGTATGAATAATATCTTTTGCCATCTATATGATAAATCATGCACTATGTAGAATGATTAAAAAAGTGCATGAAAATGGTTAGTACTTGCCTGTACTTCTGTGATGCAGGTTGACGAAAAATCCCTGATCACATACAAATGTTTCTACTGGATCATCATAGTGTAGTCCACCGTCACTTATGTAGGTACACAAAGCTCCTGTAGGAACAAAATCTGTAACTGGATCTACATCACATCGGACGAGGTGCCGATCGTCAATATGTATTTTGCATTTTTCGGTAGTTTTTTGGCTTATATCATTTACCTAGAGGGAGATTAAATGACTGTTTTATACATGCCGAAATGTATGACTGCTGTTTTCTTTTTTACGGATAAAATAAAGGAAACCTATAAAAATTTATAAAGTGTTATTTTTTTGCCATTCAGGAAAAAAAAACATTCAAAAAAACACATCTTTAAAAAGACTAAACATGCTATACTGGTCCGGAACAAGTTACCGATATAAGTTCACGGTTTTTCTTTGAATATTTTATAACAGGAAGTTTTTTTTAAATATTACTGTAGTATATGAATTGTTACCAAAAGTAAGGTTTAGTACTGTAAACTTTGAACATTAGTCTTATTATTAGCAACGAAACGCGAGTTACTAGTGTAAGTCTTCAAAATTCTAGGATGCTTAAAGCGATGACGTCATGTCCCCGTGCGTGTATCTTCACAGGACGAGTTCAAATAAACTGAAAATTCTATGTTTTGCTGTCGTAATGGGTATAAACAAAAAGAGATATTAAAAATGAAGTAAAATATTAGTCTGGAGATAGCAGCAGTATTTTGCATTTACACAACGCATTCGTCGTTGCATAAAATGCCAGGTAATTGTAACTGGTAACTGACGGTTATAACATTAACCGTTCCAATTTTACTAATAGATTCGCATTTTGACAATCAATGTCCCTTCAGTGATGCTCGAGTACTGGTCCTCAATCAGTAGAGTTGGACGCAATTTTTTTTTCAAATTAAAATAATTTTAGATCAATTATTTTTTTCTAGAAAACTACTGTAACACATCAACATACATGTACAATGTTTTATGCTGAACCATAACAATGATTTTGGACATATCTACATTTGTCTGATATTTGAATGTAAACTTTAAATTCTTTAATTTTTTGATTTTCTGATTTTTATTTATTTTTTTTTTTTTTTTTTTTTATCTTACGCCATTGAAGACATAACGGCAAGCGAATGTTGATATAATTGAAAACAGAATTTTTTGACCTTATTAAATATATAAAGATACAAAAAGACAAGACTTTGTCTGAAATCAAAATATAGCTTTTCTATTAATTCTCGTATTCCTTGACTGTCCTTTTTATATCCTGTGTATGCCTTCTTTAACTTTTATCAAGTGTAATTAATGATACAGGTCATGGGCGGATTCAGGCGGGGGCGTGGCGGGCGTGCGCCCCCCCCCCCCCCTTAAAATTTGCAAAGCATGGTTGTCCACCCACTCTAGAAGAATATTTCGATTACTTTACCTCAAAAAAATTTAAGATTGAACCCGCCACCCCCCCCCCCCCCCCCCCCCCCCACCCCCCTAACCTACAATCCTGGATCCTGGCCCCCTGCAGGTAATTCGTGAAACACGTGTTATACTCACTAACATCGATCTCATTTTGAAAACTGAATACTTACAGCATTTTGTAAAATACCTCCTTGTGTAATCGGTAGCGTAACTAAGACAGCTAAACAAATAGAGGAAAGCATTTTTCTTTCAAGACCATAGAATCAAACCTATCAAACCTATCAAATAGAAAAAAATATAAAAACAGTTGTGATGTCATACATAACACAGTATTGACTACCTTCCTAGTAGTTAACATCATTTGTCTTGCTGCAATGGCTAGTAGAAGTATAGTACCGGTTTTTGTATTCTCTGTTTATTTGTTGGATCTATAGACATTTTGATATTCATATACCACCTAATTTGTTAACAAATGAGGTTTACAAAATTTAATGTTCATTCAATCGCAGCTTTATTCAATAAATTTTTATACTCAACGTGTATGTATCTCTACTATATATATTGAGCAAGCAAGAAAGCAAAAAAGGGAAGTGATTCTAATTAGGACAGAAGAAATAGAGGCCAACCATTAAAAACCTAAGTTCTACAGTATTTATTTAATATTTTGTATAAAATAAATTCCCACAGCTTTCTTGAATACATGTCCATTGGACACCATGCATGTCCAGCTCACATATCACATTTAATGTTTAGTAAACCGTGAAAGGGATAAAAACCTAAATTTGGCACAATAACAGAGAAAAATGAATTAGCTTCATGCAAAACTAATAAATAAAAAGGCATGCAAATAAAATGAAACCAAATTATTTTTGATTTCTGAACCTCCAGGGTCAATGCCTATGCGACAAACACCTCTATGTGCATTCAATGGGGGAACCAGCAAAGACTGAAATATCATAATATACTATAAACAAACTAAAACGAATGAATGCATGCTACTGAGGCTGACATGGATGTATTATTCCTTGCCTTCTACATTCAACCAACGTGTTCATATCAGTTTGAACCTTTCCACTTAAAGTGAAATAAAGACGAAAAGCAAATTCGTTAAATTTTCAGTAAAGTAAATTTGTACATGCTCTACACTCTTCTTCCACACACTCTTATCAAACGGAAGTTTTCTTATCTAATAAAACCGCCTCGATGGTTTCTTGGAAGCATGTTCACCTCGAGTGCGGGAAGTCGTGGGTTCGAACCCGGGCCGGGTCAAACCAAAGACTTAAAAATTGGTATCTGCTGCTTCTCCGCCCAGCACGCGGCATTAAGGAGTAAGAGCAAAGACTGATCGACTCGGAGTTAGAATAATGTGTCCGGATAAGGTGACATGTCTTCCTGCGGATTGGTACCTTGTGAGTTAAAAATCCTGCTCAGCGTGTCGTTCTGGTACAAAACATGGTTAATATTCATATTACATTAATATGTTCTCGTCCTAAATATGCATATTAATTTGCCGCTAGACGTTAAGCAGCCATCCATCATCATCATCATCATCATCTCATCTAATAAAATCGTTCTTTAAAAAAATATCGTAAATTTATTTGCTGCAACTCGCATAAAACCTTCTTCTGACTGAGAAGAGTAAATATCCTAGATATGTTTACTGGAACTGTGATTAAAGCTGTTCATCTTCTCCTTGACAACATCTGTGTACGTTTCGGCAATAAGGATTATCGAATGATTGTATGTATTCTTATTGATATCAATTGTGCCCCTTTAATATGAGTAAGGCTTTTTTCCTGTATTGTTATGGTCAATCTGAGTAAAGATCCGTCTAAATTCTATTTAATTGATAAATCAACATACCTTTACCTTGATGATATTTTTGCGATAAATAATCAAGAATTTGCGCCTGTCCTAAGTCAGGAGCCTCTGGCCTTTGTTAGTCTTGTATGTTTTTTTAATTTTAGTTCATTTATATGTTTTGTAGTTTAGTGTGACGTCCATTTTCACTGAACTGGTACGCAATTTTATTTAGGGGCCAGCTGAGGACCACCTGCGATGAAGTTGAAGACCCATTGGTGGCCTTCGGCTGTTGTCTACTCTTTGGTCGGGTTGTTGTCTCTTTGACATATTCCCCATTTCCATTCTCAATTTTATCTTAATATGCTGCGGAAATATACCCTAGGCAAACTACTTTAAATAAATATAATATTTGCTTGTTTCTGAACCCTAGATATTTATTTCAAGTTTATTATATCGTTATGTGTTGATTTATCTGAATAAATATTATTTAAACTAAATATGATATAAACAGCAATAACTGTCCTTGTGTATATTAGATATTTTAGTTTCACACGGGAAACTCTAAATACAAATAAATGAAAAATTAGACGATATTTCGTTCCTTCATGCTATTTAACCTTTTTTTGGACGGTCTTGTTCCTTTGGCACCATCTAAGCTGTTAAATTTTCCCAACTCGTTCTCTAACGTGTCTAGTGTGTTTCTCGGACAGTTTGTCTCTTTACACTTAATCGGTTGGATGTGTTCTGACTGATATTTTATTCTAGAAAAACATAATTTTGTTTACCCCCAAACTTTAATACCCCTGCAACCAACTTTGGTGGTATATATGAATCCTCTTGTCTGTCTGTCTATCCGTCTGTCCCGCTTTGTATTCTGTGCATAACTTTTTTGCTATTAATCTTAGGATGATCACACTTGGTATGCAGATGCATCATCGGCTGAGGGTGTGTCAAATACCAAAATCAGGTTACTCTACCTTGACCTTGATCCTAGACTCCCACGATAGCTATAAGTGTCAACCTAACAGAAGGTAATGAGTATATAATATGAACGGCTGAAGGTCAAAAATCCCAAAATGTCATTGTCTCAATACTCAATTTCACAGCAGTAACTGAAATGCATGAACGTGTGTATTAGTCCCGCTATGTTTACAGCAAATCAGGTCACGCTGATATTGACCCGTGATTCCTATTATATTTATGTGTGTCAACGTAACACAGAGGCAAATGAATGATTATATAAAATGAATGGCTGAAAGCCAAAAGTCTAAAAAATGTCTCAATACCGAATTTCACAGTAGCAACTAAAATGCATGTACGCGAGTATAAGTCCGCTCTAGTTTATAATCATTTTGTATTGTAGTAAGTTAGGGTACTTTTAGATCCGCACTTTGTGTCTTTTGTCTTTTTATTAGTTGGAGAAGGTGTGCTCCGTGTCGATCTAATGAGTGTCAGTTGGTTTTAATAGATTGTTCTTATGTTGTGCTTTTACATCACTGTCCGAAGTTAATTTAAATGAAATACATGAATGTATACATACCGTAAACACTGCATAATGTATCCCAATTTTTGCTTTATTTCTAAACTAGTTATATCCCAGCTAAAATTCAATAATTGCAAACTAAAATATTAAATGCGGTAGGACCAACTACCCTTGTTCTTGTTTCATGGACTTTGATGGCCAAAATATACCCTTTTTAGGCAATTTGATTTGCTTTCGAAAAATACAAAAATTAGCAATTTTTTCTATCACAGATGCCATGTTGAAAAAAAAATAGCAGTTCTTTTGGGATAGTAGATTTCTCGAGTATTTCGAATTACAATTTTTTTCTTTTTTACCATAATAAAAGGTTATAACAATATATTATACAGTTTTAATTAATCAAAGTGTACGATCACCCTAAGTTCAATGATGGTTCTTCAGATTTGATCGCTTAACACTTTTGGAAAGTAATAAAACTTTTACGGCCATACGCTGTAAACTTTTTGAACTATCGCTCCATAAAAATGAAATCAACAATTTCGTTTTCAAAATGTCACTCGGCGCACAATTTTTTGTTGTTTAAAAACAATGTCTCGTTCAGGAAAACAGAAGTTTTGCAAAATAAAATTACAGTGTCCTTCACCAAATTTCAGGTACCGCTTGCTAAAATACTCATATCAGAAAAAAAGAATAAAGAAAATTAATACGCTCGCTCGATCGCTCAAATTGTACATAATATTCTAAAGAACAATATTCAATTAGGAGTGCCCAAAATGGATCGCTTGTATTTTTATAAGAAATCGGCGTGATTATTGAACGTAAAACTGAAATTTTCAGATATAATTAATATCAAAAATATTCTATAAATTATTCAACATTCAATTTGATAATTTTTCAAATATAGATTTTAGTATCATGGTTTTTTTCCCCAAACATTTCTGTGTTATAAGAAATACAACTGATTCTTTTTTCTTTTTCTTTTCTTTCGTAGATGTACCTTACCTTTTAGTGTTTAAAGGCAACTGATCAATTCGCTGACAAAGAAATATTGTAGGTGCCGTTGGTTATATACCTCGTTTTTTTTATCATTCTCACAAACAAAATTAAAAAGGTATAGATAAAAGCCTTCTTTTCAGCGTAAATAATTGGACAATTTCTACTGAATTCAATGACAATTCTGTGTAATTCAAGAAGTCCCATTACATACAAAATACAAATAGATATAGCTTAGACCATTGTTAGTATACGTTATAATTTTTTTATTTAAACGAGTTAATTACATAACCAGTGTAAGTTGGCATACTACTAACACTGGTTACGTATTTTTTTTCTTTATAAACATTGCATGGCCCCTTATGCACGAAACATCTTATTCTAAGTGTTCCTTAAACTAAGATTCTTCTAAAAAGTTTCCTTAGTTAAGTATTTTTTTTCTCAAACAAAACCATATTTTCCAATTCAAATAAAAAAAAATTATTATCATTTATCATTTATCGATTTAAAATAAGTATTATGTTTTTTTTTCAAATTGCCAGCGTTGAATTATTTTGACCGGTAAATAGTTTGCCCTCGATGAAACTATTTGACCGCAAGCGTCATTATATTTCGCGGAATTTCATCTGCAGCTGCGGGATTACCTAACGGGTTTTTAACAATTCATTGGGGACTATCGGAATTCATTTCAATTATACAAAAAGTAAAATCACAAAAATACTGAACTCCGAGGAAAATTCAAAAAGGAAAGTCCCTAATCAAATGGCAAAATCAAAAGCTCATACACATCAAACGAATGGATAACAACTGTCATATTCCTGATCTGGTACAGGCATTTTCTTATGTAGAAAATGGTGGATTGAACCTGGTTTTATAGCTAGCTAAACCTCTCACCTCTCATAAACGTCGATTCCCGAGTCGTTCGAACACACACCAAGTCCCATCAGACGACAGGACCATGGCTCGGTCAGGGCGATTTGCGTCGGTTTCGGATGGAGATCTGGAAGGATTAAATAAGGACAAGGACGCCCAAAACACAAAATCAGTCGTCCAAACTGATAAAAAGATTATTTCAGACTACCTTACACAAAAAGACAGCGATCTAAACACCCTAGAGGAGTTAGACGAGGTGGAACCAGAGGTGGAACTAACTGTTCTGTTGAATTTATTCTGTTGTTTTGAAACAAAATGAAACTTTAAACTTACAATTGCCTGCTTGTTATTGGAATGCATATTTACAATCCGATAATTGTCACCACTACGTGTCCGATGTCTTTTACAAATGTAAAAACGAATTTTGGTCAGCTGTGTCGTTCAGTCCTTGGTATACCTTGTGTCTGTTGTCTCTTTCGGTATAATAAAACACTTACTGACTGAATATTCGTAGAATAGTAAGTTTATTGTCCCCTCGGATGCAACTATTGCCCTCGGCTACACAAATGTACTCCTCAGGGCAATAGTTGCACCTCGGGGGACAATAAACTTACTTTTCCACTCATACCCAGTCAGTAAGTATAAAATATTCTCATTTCATTCACATACAGGAACAAGATTTTTATTATAACTCCACCTCCTCCCCTAGATTTTTTTTCACATCCCCTTTTGAAACAGTTTTTTTTGTTGTTGTCTATTGTTGAATACTGTATGTTGCCTCTATACTTATCTCTCTTTTTCTTCCACGTTGTCATTCATACCAAATGCACGCTTTTTTAATGTTTTTTTTATATTCTATGGGACAAAATGTTGTTTTCTTTGTTTGTTTTTTTTTCTTTTCATAAGTCAATTGCAAATAAATCATCATGATTTATAATGTAAACATATACATATATATATATATAATGTCTGAACAATAGCCAACGATAAATCTTACGAGGCGATGGATCATATAAATATGATACAGTACACTACAAAATTTTAATACAAGAGTGCACACGCTGAAATGTCTCGCCTACTATACTGACCATTGATTTTATGTTGATAGTCCTAAATATAAAGTTTTACTATAAGTATCATATTAACATTTATGATCCAAGAAAATGAGGTCAAGGTCAGATAAAGCAAGGCGGAAATAACATGTATACGTTTAATACAATCATTCCATACACCGAATATAGATGATCTATTGCTGATAATATAAAAGAAACAGACTAAACCATGGAAATTTTATATTGACCAATGAACCATGAAAATGAGGTCAAGGTCAGATGAATCCTACCAGACAGACATGTATACCTTACAATCATTACATGTATCAAATATAGTTGACCTATTGCTTATAGTATCTAAGAAACAAAGTTAACCAGGAAAACTGAACATTAACCAATGAACCATGAAAATGAGATGAAGGTCAGACGATATCTGCCAGACAGACATATACACCTTACAATCATTCCATACACCAACTAAAGTTAACCTATTGCTTAAAGTTTAAGAAAAACAGACCAAAACACAAATCTAAACATTGAGCAAGGAACCATGAAAATGAAATAAGGTCAAGGTCAAATAAAACCTGCCAGACTGACATGTACATCGTAAAATATATTCATACACCAGATATAGTTGACCTATTGCATACAGTATTGGAAAAACAGACCAAAACACAAAAAATTAACATTGAGCAATGAACCATGAAAATGTGGTCAAGGTGAAATATAACCAGTCAGACTGACATGTACATCGTAAAATATTTCCATACACCAAATATAGTTGACCTAATGCATTCAGTAATAGAAAAACAGACCAAAACACAAAAACTTATCTTTGACCACTGAACCATGAAAATGAAGACAATGTCTGATAACACCTGCCAGTTGAACATATACACCTTACAATCATTACATACACCAAATATAGTAGACCTACTGGTAATAGTATCTGAGATAAGGACTTGACCACGAAAACTTAACCTTGGTCACTATTCCATGAAATGAGGTCGAGGTCAAGTGAAAACTGTATGACAGGCATGAGGACCTTGCAAAGTACGCACATACCAAATATAGTTATCATATTACTCATAATAAGAGAGAAGTTGACATTACAAAAAATCTTAACTTTTTTTTCTCAAGTTGTTACTGAACCATGAAAATGAGGTCAAGGACAATGGACATATGACCGACGGAAACTTTGTATCATAAGGCATCTATATACAAAGTATTAAGGATCCAGGTCTTCTACCTTCTGAAATATTAGCTTTTAATAAGTTAGTTAACGCCGCCGCCGCCGCCGGATCACTATCCCTATGTCGAGCTTTCTGCGACAAAACTCGCAGGCTCAACAATTAATAATAAGCAAGTCTAAAAGGGTGCAACATCACCAAAAAAATAGTAAAATCATGAACAAATATCAAATATTTCGGATAACTAATATCCTTCATCAGTAAGATGTCAAGTGACATATAATACAAATTGTCGTTTTAAGCACCATTGTACGAAATTAACGATTAATACAGAGAAATTGAATAAAGATCAAACTGGAAATAAATTATGTACATTTGTAATCATACTGGACGTTGATCAGAGGGCAAAAAAAAAAAATATTACCGATTCAAAAATGTTACGCCAGATTTGACGTCGATTAGAGACAGGACGTCGGTCTAGAATCCCCGGCCTTCCCTCTCTCCCCTTTTTTACCAAATAAATTAATGGTTCTTGTCTAGAGTCCTTCCTGCTAACCGTCGATATCGAGCGATTTAAACATTTTTTATCTAAAAAATCTAACATTCAAAGTTATTTATTTATTGAAGCATATGGGAATTCGAAGAGAGGAATAAAGAAACTAAACGAATCCCGTGTGTTTAAAAAATGAGAGCACTATTTTACCTGCATCGCCAACGATAAAATCAGGTCTAGTAACCGCTCGACTTGATCGTCATTCCGAAATCCGTCCGCACGTCCGTCCGAAAGACTTAATTGGTAGAACATTTTGTCGAAGTTTTCTTGGCTTCTATGGAAGGATGTTACATTTGGTCAGCTGCTTGATAATGATGAGCTGAAGCGTGTAAGGTCCGTGTATATTTGCGTCCATTCGTTTTTCATTTTGAAATATCAAAAACAAAAAACAAAAAACGAGAGTGTTTTCATTTTTCGTTTTTGATTCCTCAAAAACCAAAACGGAAAACGAAAGTGTTTTCATTTTTCGTTTTTGATTTCTCTAAAACCAAAACGGAAAACGAAAGTGTTTTCATTTTTTGTTTTTGATTTCTCTAAAACCAAAATGAAAATCAAAAGTGTTTCCGTTTTTCGTTTTTGATTTCACTAAACAAGAATTTTGTATTCAATTTTAATTATTTCTCGTTTTATAATGTACAATGTTTTCCTTTCTTGTTTCACAGTCATTGATAGTAAATAATGACAATGTTAACACTCCGGTGTTCTTTCAACATAATGTAGACAAAATAGACCGCCTGACTTATGAATTGAACTACGGTGATAAATGAATCAAAGCCTTTCAAATTACCTTGTTTATATCTTTAATAAAAAATAAATTATTATATTCAAATATTAAACGAATCATAAATTTAAATTGTACAATATAATATTATATATAGATGGTACAAATAAATAGATTGATTACAACATCACATTAACAAGGGAGGTTACTACTTTTAAAATCTTATAAGAAAACTACCCCGGTCGTTAAAGTATACATGCACAGTCACTGTAGTTATCAGATCTTTAATCGAAGATAATGTCGACGGATGCAAAAGACTTTATTAATCTGAACAATAAGGGTGCGTGATCTTTACTTTTAAATTTAGAAAGGTTGATCTCAGATGATTAGAATTCATGGCCAAGGTCCATTATAGTCCAGTGGCGGATCCAGAGGGGGTCGTAGAGGGCGTACGCCCCCCCCCCCCTTTTGCTTGCACTTTTATTTTTTTGTAAAATGATTAATCAGACTAGACTTTGTGAACGTTGCCATTTCCCGCGTATTTAATTTTTATCGGCAACAATTCTTTACTGATAAAGATATGTTTCGCTCGTATTTACTGTAATATATTATTGATTATGTCAAAATCATGTGATTCGCTACGGTGGAGTT